ATTTATCTTTCTCTGACATTTTTGCACATTTTTTTTTTATCCTGAAGGGAGTTTATTTTTATTCACATGTTCGTTTTTGTACATATTGAGGTTGTGGAATCTCTCTTCTGTGATGGTGGTGGTTGTTATTAGCTAACTAAACCACTTCTATCGCTTCTCTCTCCTGTTCTAAGAGTTTATAGTTTCTGCTCTGTTCTTTTCCATTCTATTTTGGGCATTCAAGTGATTGAACTAGATCGCACCAGTGGGCTTGATTCTATGGCAGTTTACAGGAAGCTGGGTTGATATCCATCAGAAACACAATATATTGTCGTCACCCAATGCTTCATGGTACACACATTTATCATGGGCTACCAAGTCCTGCCCATTTCACACGAATTTAATTCCTGCTGTTAGTGTTCGCAGACAGACACATGTTTACAACGCAGGGCGTGACTTTGATGTAATAATGCCAGACGAGACCTTTAATGCGACGTGACCTTGCCTGACCTCTTGACACTGTTCGCCATCCCATCAATTTCGGTAAATGGGGTTGCTTTGTTTCCATTAACGATTCGGAAAACAGGATATATAGGGATATATAGCAAAATATCCAGTCCCTTCATGATTTTGTAAACAGATAAAATGAGGATTAGATGGCCATAATGTCTACTGAGGATTGATTCCAAATTTGTGTATGATCAGCCAATGATTTGTCTGCTCTGAGCTCAGTACTCTCAAGCTGATGTACTGATGTCAGCATAAAACTACCTAGAATCTTTCCAGCTTATATTTGTACGCGTAGAGCTGCACCTTGGCACGGTATCATGTACTTGTATGGTCAAGGCTGTAGCCACAGGAACTGCCTGTTTCCTGTTCATTGAGCTACACACACATACTATGACCATGAGGCCATTATAAATTAATAATCAGATCTTCCCACCTGCCCGCCTCACTACCTAACACCCTGCTACACATTATTTTATTATCTCCAAGTATTAGACTACAAAAAAGTCTGATGTCTTTTCCACTCAATACATTTCTCTCTTCTAACAAGTTTATTTTCTAATTCTAGTCAGCTAGCTAGACTTCTCTATTTTTATAATCTACATTGGTTTTGATTAAATTAATTGCAGACAAACAACAGCCATGATTCATGACTAGGCAATTATCTACAGACAAAGAAGATTGCTTTGTGTGTTAGTGTCGTTTTTTACTTGAAGAAATACACCCTATACATAGTCCTACTGAACATTCATTCCTCTTGTTTGGGCACGGGTGGCCCAGTCGTCTAAGGCGCCGCGATTTGTTGTGCAGAGTTGCATCCCTTGGGCACGCAAGAAACCTATGATTGTGGGATCGAATCCCCGTTCGCCCCAATTATGTTTCTAGGTTTGTCAGGACCATACCTGTGCTTGTGAGTTTCACTGAAGTGGTAGAACTGAGACGTGCATCACTTTGGGCTTTCCTCCCACATTAAGCTCACCTCCCACAATATAACTGGAATACTGTTAAAAGTGACGTTAAACCCAACTCACTCACTCACTCATTCTTCTTGTGAATCACATCCATCAATATATCGTGTACACAGATGTCCTAAATGGTTTTTAAATTTATATTTGACTCGGGGCTCATTTTGAACATTGTGAATGAAAACTGATTGTGGCCTTCCTGTCCATGTCATCTGTTATATGGAATGTGTGAGGTGTGATGCGAGACATTTATAACACAAGGATGTGATATGACACACTACAGAATCATGTGACATTTACCAGGTGTGCTCATCACATGTCACATGAAAGCGTCACATGACATATAATATTATGTCTTTGATGTATACATGAAAGGACATTTTCTGAAAAAGTGGTCTATTATTTCAAAGTCAGTTTTGTTTATAACACTGCTAATTTTGTAAATTTGTTGATAAATTATGATACTACATGTCCAGCTTTTTTCAGATACATTGAGTTCATTTGATCACACATCAGTTGTACATAATCCTTGAACCTTGAGAAATATTGAATTTTCATATCTTTGGCACAAAGTCTAAATGACTTTTTTATGACATCAAGTTTTCATATAACTTTAGACTCAGGAGAATAAACCTCATTTTTCATCCAATTCCCTTTTCTCACTGTATGATTTGCGAGTAAGATGTGGGCTTGTTCCACGGTCCTTTCATAAAGTCATATCCAGCTCTGCTTATGAGCTTAGGAGAGTGTGAATTCATGATAAAGAGAACATCTCCAGGGAATTGCTCACACATAAAACCATTAACCACTCTCTATGGCCAGGAATGATCCATCTTCTTCGGACGGATATTAAAGAGTTAGTGCAACAAGTGTGCATTTGGATGTAGTATTTTCTCTGCTTTAAACTCATCAGGATTCTCTGACATTTCTGATTGAGATTTTGTCTCCCATGATGGGTTCTGAGCTCTGTCCTTTGCTTACTGACATTTGCCATCATACGTCATATCCCACAAGCCTTTGCTCTGATTGTCAAGGCGGCCATCTTTAAATTAAATTTGTCATTCCTACCCCACAGAGATCAGCTAGAATTTTCTGTCAACAGATTAAATGACATAATCAAATTTTTTTTGGTGACTTGATTGTCAGGACATTTTAACTCATCTCACTGTCGTGGAATTCTGAGTCATAATGATTTGCAGGTAGAAGTTGCATTCTATTTTTTTTATACAGGTTTGAATTTTTTATTATTTATAATCTGCATCACTTTTGGCTTTCAAATTAAGATGATACTCCAGGATAGAACTGAAATATTTTTCAAAACTCGCTCACTCACTCACTCACTCACTCACTCACTCACTCACTCACTCACTCACTCACTCACTCACTCACTCACTCACTCACTCACTCATCTACTTCTAAGCCCAATCCCAATCCTAACCCACAAGCTAACACAAACTCGACACCTTTCAAAGTTGCATCCACCCAATTCACTCACTCACTCCACATGGAAATACTATAATATTGAACAACTAATTGAACTACAGGACAAGTCATGTCTGGTTGGAGTTGGGACGATCTGCGAACATCATCTAGTTACACAATGTATAATTCAATTTACGGCTTGATACTAGCTGGGTTTTCTCTGATTAGGTTCATGGTGGTGATCCCGAAGTGAAGTCTCCAATGAGAAGACATGCTGTAACCCTGTTACAGACCTATTTCTCAGGAGGTCCTTTTGTTGACTGACACGAATCTAACCATTTTGAGATGAGCAAAATATGATTAACTTGGAACCTAACTTTTTTGGTATTTTTCTTTGTTGCCACTTTGGATAGAAGTATTTGTCTCTTGATGAAAACATGTGTGTGGTTTGTTGTCAGTTTTGTAAAGGACTGGATTTCGATGAATACCGATAGCGTTGGATAACATTAAATATTGGATAACTTTTTTTCTGTTGGCTGCATTCAAAAAGTTTGTTCACGGAGCAGATTTAAGTGAAAACCAGGGAATTTATAGCTTAAAATTTACAAATGCTGCCAGCTTAATTGTTTGATATCTTGAAAACATTTCATGTCTGGGGAAAACACATTTAGAGTTGACGAAGTTTTTAATCTAGGTTACAATATGGTGTCTGAGTTTGCATCTGCTGAGGAAATTCCAGCTGAGAAAAGGTACACAAGTTTGATAGAACAAACCAAAATGAGGATACAGTGGTCACCATGTGGTTTATCAAATAAAGATTCCAAGGTCACAATGTGGTTTATCCAATGAGGATTCAGTTGTCACAATGTGGTTTATCCAATAAAGATTCCAAGGTCACAATGTGGTTTATCCAATGAGGATTCAGTTGTCACAATGTGGTTTATCCAATAAAGATTCCAAGGTCACAATGTGGTTTATCCAATGAGGATTCAGTGGTCACAATGTGGTTTATCCAATAAAGATTCCAAGGTCACAATGTGGTTTATTCAATGAGGATTCAGTGGTCACAATGTGGTTTATCCAATAAAGATTCCAAGGTCACAATGTGGTTTATCCAATGAGGATTCAGTTGTCACAATGTGGTTTATCCAATAAAGATTCCAAGGTCACAATGTGGTTTATCCAATGAGGATTCAGTGGTCACAATGTGGTTTATCCAATAAAGATTCCAAGGTCACAATGTGGTTTATCCAATGAGGATTCAGTGGTCACAATGTGGTTTATCCAATAAAGATTCCAAGGTCACAATGTGGTTTATCCAATGAGGATTCAGTGGTCACAATGTGGTTTATCCAATAAAGATTCCAAGGTCACAATGTGGTTTATCCAATGAGGATTCAGTGGTCACAATGTGGTTTATCCAATAAAGATTCCAAGGTCACAATGTGGTTTATCCAATGAGGATTCAGTGGTCACAATGTCGTTTATCCATAGCGGATCCAAATAATACATTTTTTAGATGTGAATTAATGTGTTTCTCAAAAAGGTTTTGACTATAATATCATAAGAGCTTGTGACTAGAGGTGACATGCCTTTAATAAAGTTGAAAGCAAGCACAAAATTGAAACCTTTCAATCCAAAACTATACCAATCCAAGTCGAAGCATATGGATTAACCACTTTCAGGATTAACAAATCATTAGGACTTAGTAATGTATATATACTGCTCTACTTTTAATTGGGATGTTTCTGTCTCTCTATGATACACAATAATCATTCTCATAATATGTCAAGTGTATGTTTAAATACAATGTGATTATCCCTGTCAGAAGTTGAGAAGTATATATATATATATTTCCAACTGTCCAAAAGTGTCCCAAAGTTTCCTCACTTTTAGGGACCAGACAGAAAGCATTTCAGAGCATATGGGACATAATTGCATCAACCGTAATGTTGATCCCATTCAGTGTCTTTGTTTGGCTCCATTGCATCAATGTTTTGAAAACTCCTTTGTTCTCAGTCAGAAACCTTTATCCTTGAATCATCTGAAGACATGAATCTCTTTCCTGTAGATATCTTTAAAGGCTGTTATTTTGTTTTCTTATGAGAATATGTCTTGTGTTTCCAGATCTGGACGTCAGCTCTTTTCATGATGGGAAAAGCACGGTACCACGATACTATCGATACATCATGGTGGATACTTTGTCCCAGAGCCTGCTTGTTGGAGCCATGTGAGTACAAACACCATTTTCATGAAAACTGTTTAAATATTCAATAAGTTTGTCTTGCACCATGTGAATACAAACACTGTTTTTATGAAAAAGTTATTAAATATATAAACAGTTATCTTGGCGCCATGTGGGTACAAACACTATTTTCATGAAAACTGTGTGAATATTCAATAAGTTTGTCTTGCTCCATGTGAATACAAACACTGTTTTTATGAAAACGTTATTAAATATATAAACAGTTATCTTGGCGCCATCTGGGTACAAACACTATTTTAATGAAAACTGTTTAAATATTCAAAAAGTTCATCTTGGTGCGATGTGGATACAAACACTATTTTCATGAAAACTAAATATACTGAATAACCCTTATCTTGGACCCATGCGATTACAAACTCTACTTTGAAACTAAATAAGCTGAATAAGCTATTACTTACAGTTGATCAGTCACGTGTGCGTTAAGGCAATAACTATATTGGAGATGACACAAAATGTTAGCGATATATCTTCAATCTTTTACGTAACTGCATTGGGAAGTCTAGTAGATTGCATTTGCAATGGATATATGTGCCTAATGAACAGGAATGTATAGATATTTTGTGTGTCTTGAGATAAAGGCAGTATTTTTCTATCAGTGTATGCCCAGTTTGACCAAAATCAATATCCAAAGTTTTCCCAATGGTAAAGTGTACTTTGTGCAACATGTAGAATGGCAGCACTGTCTGAGAGACAAATATATTGATCTACAGTGTAAAAGGAACACATTGAAAATATACAGCACAAGAGCTGCAAACACGGAAGTAGGGCTCAATATCCTTGTTTTGTCAATGGTCTGTATGGATTTCTCTCAGGGAGGGTTGGAATCCATGGCAGAATAATCTCCACTACCTCATGCTGATTGTAACAGCTATCTAAGATGTGCATCAGATTGGCGATGACTGGATGAGCATTTGAAGAGTTAGATCCAGAGAGTACCAGCTCCCTGTATGTCCTTGTAGCCTGCTGGTGCTCGCACTGTCAACCACTGGTTTGTGTGGTCCAAGTTGATTATTAAGATGCTACATGTTAGCAGCTGTAATATTGCTGACTAAGGTGAAAAAAGCATGCATTATTGCACACAATCTGAGCATGTTTTTTGACAATATTTGTTAACATTTGGAAGATTCATCACTAAGCATTAAAGGATCTGTGGTAAAACATACATCACAAGTACAATGAATGTTTCTTTACTATTACCGTATTCGACGTAATAAGCCGCTCTAATAAGCGCCCACGGAGATATTTGCTAATATATTGGCTAGTGAACAATCCCATTCCGATTGATCAATGTACACAAGACTTATTTATTCGTGTATAATATGTGTGTTATATGCATCCTTAATTATGGGAAATTAAATTCTGGAAAAATATATCTGTTGTATTAACATTTCAGGCTGTCAGCATAAACCACAAAATTTAAGATCTTTCAACTCTGTTGTTTTTCACCAAAATAATATTTTAAAAAGAGCCCCCTATTTCTAATTTGAGAGCGCCCTTGGTGCTTATTATGTTGAATAAGGTAATAATAATAATAATACAGTCAATTCATCCGTGGGGATTCTGGGTCAGAATTGGTTTCCAATGCCCATGCTGGTTATAAGCAGCAACCAATTGGATCTGATGCTTGGACTTTGGGGACTTGGTTGATCATGTGTCCTCATACCTGAAGGCTTGGATCATTGTTCACAATATCGATCACTGGATTGTCTGATCAGACTCATTTATTTACAGGCCACCGTCATATAGCTGGAATATTACTGAGTGCAGTGTTAAACAACAAACAAACAAACAGTTCTATGATTTGTCAGAATATGGTTAATGACACAAAAGGCAGGATGTCATTGCAAAGATAAGCTCAATCACAGGAAATATTTCAAGAATAAGTATTAAAGCTATTTTTTAATAAAATACTGGCGATAGTAAGGATAACTTTCCTGTACTACATTCCTATACCCTTAACAATACCATATTCACTTAGTTCCAAATGCTTCAATTTTACATTCGTCAAAGTCAATTCACAAGGAGAGTTCTCTCCATCATGAATTTAATTCCTCCATATTCCACAATTTATTCAATATCGAATGTACCTTTTTTTCAACAAATGTCAAATTTCTAGACATGTTATGGTTTTTAAGTTCCTTAAATTTGCACATGAAAGTTTTCTCATATAAATATTCATGTTTCTGACTTGGTTATTCTCATGTATAATGGAATTTCTTAACCATTTGAAAATTTGTTTTATATCCTAACAAATCCTATATATTTATTTTCAAATCCGTGTCAACCATCAAAATCATTTTGGAAACCGTATGTGAAGTCCATCAAGTCGCTCTCTACTGGTTTTTCAACTTCTTGCGAGAACCTGTTGAAAAATACAGTTACCCTCTGGAGGATACCACAACATTATCCACTTGTTTCTATTTTGAATCAATAACTGAAATTTAAAGACAAGCAGATCCTATCAGAGTCACCAACAAGTCCTGTCCTGGAAAGCCCAGGATTTCCTCCCACATCAAGCTGATGTGGCGTAATGTAACTGACATATTATTCAAAGTTGATCAATGTTGATCGTGGTGACGGTGTTCGGCAGCTTGACTCCTGAGAGTTTCTAGGGCTTCCGTCTTGCCTCACATTGAAGCACATGTAAAACATGTGCTCCTGGTTCCTTGCATGGGACTGTTCGAAAAATGCATCTGTTCACCACCCGGCAGTAAATGGGTACCTGGTAGAATGAGATGGTTATGACACATTCTAATGCTTCACAGGCTGCATGGGTTGTATACTTGCCAGAGAGCTGAAAATGAAAACAAGTGCACACTGAATCCTTTGACCTGGGTAATAATGTAGGATGCTTTAGGGTGTGGATTGGGTTCATTATAGATATGCACAGTATTCTTACTCCAGACAAACCAATATGAGCATCTTATGTTCCATAGGATATGTAAAATTTAGTTTGAACATTAGTTCGTCAGTATTCTGTCACTTCCATTATGCTTGCACAGTGTTTCTAGTCATATGTTTGAGATCCAATTATGAATACTGTTCAGGATTTAACATTTTCATCCGAGGCTGTTTGAAGACAATCACAATTTTATCAAGATCACTTTGTCCAAAAACAGATTTTGTGTGTGTTTTGAATATGAACTATTTATCATATTTTCTGTCAATGCATTTGTATTGATAATGGAGAATGTGTCTCAGAAGTATGAAAAAAATGCAGAATTTTGAAATGAAGTAGAGAACTCATTTTCGAGCAGCAATCAAAGTCTTCATCTTTCATCACCGGCCTGTTGAGTGGTGGTGTGTCGCTCACCTTCAGCAGTTCAGGGGATGGAGGAGCACTTCATCTGTGACCTGATAGGGCTGTATGTCATCAATATATCTGATAGCATGCTGCAGCAACCATGCAGGAAGGCTGCTGGGTTATACAAGCAAGACTGATCTCTTTACAATGGCGACAGACATATTACAATAATGACGGAACCAGATGCCAAGGTTCAGCTGCCGATGAAAACTTGTAGAATTTTCCAGAATGGAGTTGAAATTCTAGTGTTTTGTAAATGATTGCTTGAAGAAAGCCAGATTCCTGTTGCAGATGTAGTATTATATAACAGAAGTCCTGCCCTTTGCAGACGTCTCTGACTGATGCATGCTTTGTGGTCATGGTGTCATGCTATGTTATATAAATCAGAGTCGGTGTACCTTTTTCCTTGAAATTAGGAATGTGTGGCTCTTTCAGAGTAATGTGTGTGTGTTTGTTTGTTATTTGGTTCCACACTCAACAATATTCCAGATATATGCCAGAGTGCTGTCTACATAATCAAGTCTGGACACGGCAATCCTGTGGTTAATATTATGAACAACAATATCAACCAGGTCAGCATCCCTCAAGCTTCTTATCATCATGAGGACCTATTGTAACCTGGAATCCCCAGGGGGCCAGTGTGCAGTATTGTCCCCAGCCACACCTGTAACCTCAAATTAGCCTCTTGATAATACAATCTATAATCTAGATTTGGCTGATCCAACCATAATTTATTGTGTATGATGTACACTTTTTATTCCCCAAAATACATCTGCATGTGTAATTGCTACAGCCAGGTTATTTTTTTCACGAACTTATTTCCCCATAACCTGTACCCTAAAATGGTGGGTGCATATTATATGCAAGAATTTATTGAACACATTATTGCACATCCTCTAATATCCAGGGTATTATATTTCTATTCTTTAAAGATAAATACCCTGGACCCATTTGCTGCCTTGCCTTCATTTTCTGTAGGGGGCACGGGTGGCCCAGTCGTCTAAGGCAGTTGGCTGTGCAGAGTTGCGTCCGCTGGGGATGCCAGAAACCTATGATTGTGGGTTTGAATCCCGGTTCCCCCCGATTATGTTTCTAGGTTTGTCAGCACTATACCCGTGCTCATTTCAACGAAGTGGTAAACGTCTGACACCTGCATCACTTCGGGCTTTCCTCCCACATTAAGCTGACACACCATGATATAACTGGAATACTGTTAAAAGCGGCGTTAAACCCAACTCACTCACTCACTCATTTTCTGTATGAACATCATGAGCTAAAAGCAAGAGAAATTCTGTGCTGAGGTAGAGACATGAGTGATACAGATGTTGATGTCATTTCCCAAACGAAGCAGTGGTGAAAAATTCCAGGGCAGTTATCATAAATGATTGGAGATATAATACCCTAGGTAATCCAGGATGATTACATTGAGGACGGGAATGTTGGTTCAAACAGCAGACAGCAAAATTACAGTACATCTCGATGAATGACACTGATATGGTTGTGGTATAACCAACCGGTATATGATCCAATTTCTCACTCACTAAATCTCAGGAGATGTGGGCTAGTGATTAATGTGTTTGCTTTGGATACAGGAGTTCCGGGTTCAATTCCCTCCAGGATAAATCATGTCACTCTCATTCTTTGCTGACCAGTTCCATTC